ACTCGTTCCAGCACATTTTACTTCTCGCAAATGTTGACAACCACGTGCGAGGCAATGAGGATCTGTGCTTGTGACCATCACCCGCTGAGGAGGAATTCAGAGGAAAGCCAAGAAATCAGGGATGAGGGATGGATGGGAAACACTATTTTGGCTCATGTGTTGCATCTGCTGGAGACAACCAGAGCTGCAAAACTGGCAGCAGAAGAGAGAGATGGCTCCCATTCCTCTCCAGTCGATCCAATGAATAATTAATGCCCTTGTATTTTAATATATAATAGTATAATATACTTTTCACAATACATGCTACGAGCACAGCTATTGAAGTACCATCATATTAAAGATGCATAATTAAATGAACTGCAGGAGACTTAAGAACATGCTTAAAAATTCATGGCTCGCCTCAGAGCTGCATTCTGCACTGCCCTCGGGGAGGCGGCTACCAGCCTCTCCTTCCCGCTCCTTTAAAAAAAATTAATCAGAAAGAAGCGGCATCGGCCTGTTTCAGAAAAATTGAATTAACACGGAACAAAGAAACGGGGAGCCAAGAAAGGTACCGTCTTGGACTTTATTATTCCACACTCACTATTCTGGCTAAATACTGGGGAGGTGGTAATACCGCCAGGTACAGTCGCTGAGGCGTTTCTGCAAGCCGCTGGCTGGGGCGCAGCGGGACGAGGGGGGAGCTGCCCGCCCCCCCAGCTCCTGCCGCGCGTGGGGGTGGGCCCGGGGCCCACGGACGGCCCCGAGGGGCGGGGCCTCGGCGGCCGTTGCGGGGGGCGGGAGTTTTGAACCGAGGAGGATGCGGCGGCGGTTTGTGCCGGGCGCCGGTGGCGAGGAGGCGGTGAGCGGCGGGGAAGGCTCCGGCTCCGGGGTGGGGTGGGGTGGGGTGTGGGTGTGGGTGTGGGGGGCGGCCCGCCCCGGGAGGGAGGGAGCCAGCGCTGCCCCCGGGCCGGCTGCCCGCGGAGGGGGCGAGTGGTCCAGGCGGCCCCGGCCGGGTGCGGGGAAGCGGGGGTGTGGGGGGAGCGGCAGCCCCACGGGTGCCCGGCCCGCCCCACGGGTGCCCGGCCCGCCCCACGGGTGCCCGGCCCGCCCCACGGGTGCCCGGCCCGCCCCACGGGTGCCCGGCCCGCCCCACGGGTGCCCGGCCCGCCCCACGGGTGCCCGGCCCGCCCCACGGGTGCCGCTGCTTTGTTGGGCTGGGCTCCCCGCTCGCCCTCGTCAGGGTCCCGGAGCGTGGAGCTTGAGCCTTTCCAGCGCTTTAATCCTGCAGCCGTTGGTTTTCTTATTAACGAAGGTTTTTCTTAAAACCTCGATTCACTTAAAAACCCGAGTTAGTTGAGCTCAACTGCGTCTCTAAAGCTATTACTGTCCTTTGCAACAAATACTCGTTCGTGTGTCTAGCTAGGCAATTCCCTGAGCTAGTACGTTGACTTCATGGCCTCTGTTTTAGAATAATACTCACTGCCTGACTAATTGCTTATTTTAAATGAGTATAGTAGACCTATGGGGTTTAGATGTAAGCCACTGTGGTAATAAATCAGAAGTGTACATCAGAATAAGATTCTGAAAGCCTGTATTTAAGTTATCAATTAAATAAAGTAAAATATTAATCTGTCCTGCCTTCAGCAGCATCCATATCACTATTCTTAGCTGCTGCTGTTGGATTTTTTGTTTGCTTTGTGACTCCGTCACCTATGTAGAACTGGAAATTCTTTAAAATTTCTTACATTCTACGTATACTTAGGTGGGGAATACAAATACTCTTTCTGAAAGTATTGCTTAGGCAGTTCTGGAGTGTGGGGCTGAAAATCTCGGCAGCTGTTAGTAATCTTGCCAGGGTTATGCTGCCACTGGTGGGGGAAGGATGGAGACCACAAGGGAAGCAGTGCATTAGTAGACAGCATATGGCAAAACACTGCTGTGTCATTCCTCCAAGTCCAGATGGTGTGCTCGTATTTTTAGAAGGAACTAAAAAGAAAAAAAAAAAAAAAGAAAACCAAAAATCCTGACCAATTTTTTTTGGTAGACACAAAGAACTTCATACATTCCAAATCAGGCTGCTAAGTCATTCCTTCAGATGAGATTTATATGGTGCAATTATTTAAACTATGGCCCCAAAACCATTTAATGCTAGTCCAGAATGTTTTATGTGAGCCTGGCTGAGATAATAGCATGGGCTAAATCCTTGGTGTAGCTCTGAAAGTCCTGATACGAATCCATGTAGACGCCCCAAACTAGCAGAGTGTATTTCCTCACCATAGTTATGTACCAGGTGATAGACCCGGAGAGGAGCCACGGTCTGTGCTGGGTCATTGTAGAGGTCTGTTACCCTGGGCAATGTTAGGGGGAAGTACTGTTTCACTCTTCTGAGATGAAATTTGTAACAGCTGATGTATTAGTAGGCTCAAACAACAAGTAATTATTTCTTAGGGGCAGGTGTGGGCTCTGCTTAGCTTTTCATAGCTGTACAAAATCTGATTTGGAATAAAAGAGATGAAAGCTATTCGCTTCTCCCTTCCTTCTGGGGTGAGCACTGAGAAAAAAAGTGGATAGAGGAACAGATGCTGGGGATGTGGAGGTGTTGGTGCACTGCTTTATCCTGCACTGGTTGTGGTTGAAACTTTGGAAAGCAAATCAATCAAGGGGGAAACTGGGGTAGTCTGTGGTGCCATACTGGGTCCCAGGCCTTCATATATATTTCCTGTAGGGAATACCAGTAGAACTTCTACAGAAAACATCTGATGTGAGCTTTGGGAGCTGTTTACCGCCAAACCCCCCACTGGTTCCAGAGAGCCTGTGTTATGGTAACCTCTGCATGTTCCAAAAATTTCTCATGGGGTCTCAGATTGAGAGTACTTAGTTTCTGGAGAGTCCTCTGTGCTTTATTAGTGTCCTCCTTCACGGTGGTGTCTCATCATCATCTGTGTTCTCACTGTGTGACTAAATTGTCTTAAACTCTAGCAAATTCAGTAGAACACATATTTGTCCTGCTTTGCTTGATTACACAAGCCTGGGGTCTTTATCATCTTGGGTGGGGGGAACCCACCTCCTTTATTACCTGAGGGAAATGAGAAACTGTGTTTGCATATGGGGGCTTAAGGACTTGCTGGCTCTTGATACGAGGCAGGAGAACTTTCTGTTCTGTTCTAGGTCCCATTTTAACAAGAAGGAAGTTGCTGTCTATATTGGAAGAGGTGGGAAATAGGAGAGGCTTATAACACTGAAGGGATCTGGTGGCCTCTGGGTTTTTAGAATAGGGTTCTGAAGTAGCTGAGGATCAGCTCTGTTTCAGATGCCATATAGTAGAGTATTACAACTTGAGTATGCTGCTGTGCTGGTGCTGAGTGTGGCTTATGAACTGGAGCTACTTTTCCATTAGGGTAATGGAGGCGGGTGGTTTGGAAGGAGAAATGCTCTGTGAGCAGATGGAACAGCAGCTGAAACTTCATGTATCTTTACATATGGCATCAGGCCTTCAAAAGCCAGTAAAACCCACTCTTGTAAAGTTGGGAGGGAATGGGTGGCAACTATGTAGTGAACTTCTACCTGCCTCCTGTGACTGCTATGAAGGGTCACTTTCTCTTGTCAAAGGCAGCTAATGACAGAGTGAGTCCCAAGTAAAGAAGAAAGTTGTCCACCCTCACCCCTTTCATGGGTTTTAGATTTCTCAGGTGCTTGAGTTGTGGTGGAATTAGCTCCCTCTGGTTTCTGTCCTGTTTAGAGGCTTGAGGGAGAGCAGTTGCAGTTACTTTTCTTCCAGCTGGAAATGCTGAACTTGTAAATTCAAATTACTGTACCGTGAGTTTCAGTCAATTGCTTATAGATCCATCCCTACAGCACTTGTTTTGAGTTCAGATGTGCTATAAAACTGAAAACTGACATGATGCTTTTAATTCCAGAGGTAGTTGGGACACTCTTGCTCAGTGTTGAAAAAGATTCACTCATCACCGACATGCAATGTATTTGCAATGCAACCCTGCAATGCATTGACAACACTCTGGTTTTCATGTGTCAGAAATATTTGGTTTGGCCAGGGTTGGCCACATAACAAGGGAAAGTGCATCAGAGGCATCAGTGGCATCGAGTGCCCCTTTGGGAGACAGCAAGCTGACTGTGATCCTTCATCTTAACTATCTTCTGTCTTGGTGTGGATTGACTTCTTTGAAGTGCCAAGTGAGGAATAATGTATGTTTATAAATGTTTTCTCTGAAAGGAGGTAGGAAAAAGCTGACTTCCCAGAAGTTTTTATAATACCTTAAAAAAAACCCCTCCTTCAAAAAAAAGCCAGTGATGCAGAATTCTAGTGACTAGACAGGCAACTCTATCTTAGTTCACAGTTTTGAATGAAAAGTGTGCAAGGCTGTGCCATCAGGCAGGGCATGATCCCTGTGTAGTATTGAAGCTACCACAGCTGTTTGCCTGAAGCGGTCGAGTGTTGGGATATTCTCCTTTTTTTGCTTCTGGTGTTACTTGAATTTTGTATTAATCAGAAGTGAAAACCCCACATTTTTTAACCCATTTTAAGATGGCCAAAGAAATAATGAGGATGAATTTCTGATTTAAAATATTTCAGATATTTTCCTGAGTTTAGAGATTATTTTAGTAGCAATCACTGTAAGAAGTGGGTTGTTAATTTATAAGCTTTGTTCAGTTATGCCTCTCAATGACCATATGAGGGGACCATATGTTGTTATTCTATGAATGACACATTGAGGCACATATATTTTTAGTAATTTTCAGATGCTACTGTGAGTTTCATGTTACTACCTGGCTTGGAATTTGCATGTAGAATGGATGTAGTGAATCTGTTGCGTGCTGTTTTACTCTTGTTCTTGAAGAGACAGCCATCATTTTACGTTTAGTAACCATCATAATGGCTGCATATAATTAAAACCTAGGGTTTTCTATCCCAACTGTGAAATAAGTAGAGCCTGTTAAAAAGACAGGATATTGTTAATTGTAGTTTTGTTTAGTCCTTTGTTTGTCTTTTGCATATCTAGGAATGTGACATCCAAGAGAAGGTGAACTTTGAAATCCGCATGCGAGAAGGCATCTGTAAACTACTTGCGGTGAGCACGCAGAAGGACCAACTCTTGCAAGCAGTTAAAAACCTGATGGTTTGCAATGCTCGTATACTTGCATACCGGACAGAGCTCCAGAAGCAAAAAGAAGAGTCGATGTCCTGCAGAACCGAAGAGTGGTGAGTAATAGCTCCAATTCAAATGGAACATTATGAAGCAGGCTTTTGTTTACGTGAATTCTTAGCCAGCCTGTCTAGGAAAGTGGATTTGAACTCTTCCTTCCGTCTTCCCCCATACAAACATACTTTACTGCTGCCTTAAAACATTACTTTATAAGAGAATTTCAGTATCTTCTTTTTACTTTAAAAAATTAAATACAAGTCATATTTTTGTGGGTAAATTTTATTACTGATATTAAACTATAATTCAGCATCTGAATATTATGTAACATAATAGACATATTGTCTTGATTACTTTTAACATACAGAAAGGTACCTAACGCAGTCTGAAGGAACAAAACAAAACTCTCGAAGTCAGAATACACCTATTTCTACTTATTCTTTCTATTGTTAAGGTCCCTTTAATGATGGAATCATCATGGTTAATTGGTACCCTCTGCTGGCCACTTTTCTTAACTGCAGCAAAGTAATAGGAAGAAAAATCAGTTTAGTTGAAAATGTTCTCATGTTTTAACTGTTGAATGAGCTAAAGTATTACTTGGTTTATTTGAATAAAGTTATAATTTTTTGTCTAATGGAATATATTTTGGATGCAATGTTGAGAATCATGGTGCTGAGACACTATTGCTCTCAGGTTATTACTTTAATGAAATACTATATTGCAATTTATCATAAAAAGTCTTTGAGTACATGCTTATGTCCAGTCACGTGTATCTATAGGAACAGTCCTGCTGCTTTTTGCTTTCAGAAATGCAGTCTTTCAGGAGGAATTTATTGAAGGAAAGAACTGCATTTTCTGAGTGTATAAAATATTATCGTGAAAGCTGATTTTGAAAACTAGCACTTATAACTTGTGATATTCTGTAATTATTGCAGTTGTATTGCTTTTTCCTACTAAGATGAAGGCCTTTAGAATCGTAGAATCGTTTAGGTTGGAAAAGACCTTTAAGATCGTCAAGTCCAACCGATTACCTCACACTGCCAAGTCTACCACTAAACCATGTCTCTAAGTGCCACATCTACACGTCTTTTAAATACCTCCAGGGATGGTGACTCCACCACTTCCCTGGGCAGCTGGTTCCAACGCTTGACAACCCCTTCAGTGAAGAAATATCTTCTTAACATCCCATCTACACCTCCCCTGGCGCAACTTGAGGCCATTTTCTCTTGTCTTATTGCTTGTTACTTGGGAGAAGAGACTGACCCCCACCTTGCTACAACCTCCTTTCAGGTTGTTGTAGAGCTCGATGAGGTCTCCCCTCAGCCTCCTTGTCTCCAGGCTCAACACCCCCAGTTCCCTCAGCCGCTCCTCACAGGACTCGTGCTCCAGACTCTCCACCAGCTTTGTTGCCCGCCTTTGGGCGTGCTCCAGACCTCGGTGTCAGTGAGGGGCCGAACACATTTTATCACTTTATAGTGACTCATCTTTTATGTTTTTATGTTTTTAACAATGGAATAATATAAAGTATGTATATATGCTGATTTACTCCACTCCTGGTCTTTGATGTCAGTGTCTACAGAATGGTGATGGTACATGTCCAGAACAGGGCAGAGATATTTGGAGATATCTGAACAGCTGTATTTTTTTCTTACAGTCATAGTCAGCTGTATTGTTTATTTGGTTTGTGTCTGTCATGCATTACTTAGAGTTCTGTCTTAAGGTGTCATTTGCATTGTCAGTGGAGGTCGTTAGAAGAGATGCATGCTATAGAGTTACTTCTCTACCATTTAGATCATATCTTTGATAGTTGATAGTGCATTTACAGTTCTTTTTTCAGTGTTTGCTCAAGACTGGAATTTGGTTAAAGCTTAATCCAGGTAAGATGGCAATGGCTGAGAGAAAATTCTAGGGTTTTCAAGTGAATTTTTGTCCCTGTTTCTTGTTATGTGGGTTTGTAATCTGTGAGTTCTGAAGACACTGTAACTGCCTCTGGAAGTCAGGATATTGGTAACAGCTAGAAATTTGCATTTTACCTTATTGATTAGGAGTTATGAGCAGTGGCAGATAAAAGGAGAGCACTCTGTTGTTACTCATTATCTACAGAGTCTTTTGATTCATTTTAAGGTTGACCTTGAGATCTACACTGGCTACTTAGCAAACTGTCTGCCTGCATGTAAAATCACAATATTAGCAATGTAACTTTTTGTAATTGGTCTGTATTAATAGAGGAGGACACAATTTTCTAACCAATAATAGAATTGATAAATTAAGGTGCTTATTCACTGACGTGTACAGAAGGGGAAAAGTTGATAATGTTTATGATTCTGTTGGAGCTGGAAAAGACAAGGAAGATGAATCTACTTGTCTTTTAATATGCAGGTTAAATAAGCTTTGGAGTAAAATTTTATAGGGAATTAAGAAAATTGATGGTATACCTCCCTTCCAGATTATCCTCAAGAATATAATGGCTCATGTCTTAAACCAGAGATACCAAATTTAATTTTAAAGAAAAACATTTTAAATGAACTCTAATATGAAAACCCTGACACTTTTTAATGTTTAAAGGGTTGAGTTTTAGAAGTCTGAATGCACAGATCTCAACCTCATTTTTCTTTTCTTCTTTTTGGCAGGTCTTCAGAAAATGGGACAAAAGACCGGGTGGCATGCAAAGCAAAGGTTGCTATATCAGGTAAGTGTTTGCGTAGTCACTTAATTATAGGAGCAAATTGGCTGGACAGTAACTTGTAATACAAATTATGCAAATAAGATGGTATTTTTAAAGTGCATATGTGGTTCAGGGGCAAAAATCCTCTTGTGCTTCAAGGGGACTTGTGCTTTTAAGTTACACACGTTCTCTTATAGATCCTACCTAGTATTTCTATTTTACTTTCAAGGACTTTGACAGTGGGAAATACTTTCTTCTGTTTGTCACTAAACACTGGATATATTTCAAAGCTAAATAAGTGTAAATGTGCTGATAACTTTTTTTTTTTTTCCCTCACAAAGACAAATTTTGATGTGATCATACAGGGTATGTGTAACAAATTGAAGGCAGAATTACAACTAGTATGCAAATGTTATTTAGTTAATGCAGATTACATTACTACAGCAAAGGTATAGTGGTATGGTTTCAATTTGAACTATTAACAACAGTATTTAACAATGATTTCCAGTGGGCTGGTACACTGTTTCCTGGCCTGTTCTCAAACTTCAGCACTATGAATTTATCCTTTTGGTTGCCTATGCCAATCGACAACATTCAGCATTCCTGTAGTTGTTCACTGTGGCTGTTCTGCTAGCTTTGCTAACAGATCTGTTTGTGCTTCCTGACCTGCTTCATTGAAAATAAAATAGTGTAGAAGGACTCACTACTTAAACTGTTTAAGTTAATTCTGTGTATTTTGACATATCTTTAAGCAAGGTAGCTTCTAGTAGAAGAGTGATGAGCACATGGTTCAATAATGTTTTCTGCCAGCACAGCTGTTTGCAGAATGTGTATCTGTCTTTCCTCCTTATGGTAGTTGGATGAAAGCATCTGTTTGCCTGTCTGTGCTGTGGTTACATCTTTCTTTGGATTTATAGAGTTATCAGCAGTGAAGAGTTTAGGATCATATAATACACTTTTGTTATCTTTAGAAAATAAGAATTGTGTAAGGACTTTATTTTTAGTATGAAAAATTTGTTTGGCATATGAAACATTTAGCTAATGGGACAAGAGAATAGAAGGGTGAAATACACCACTTCCTATTATGTGCCATCTGTTAATGATTCTGTCCTGTTACTAACATAGTGGTTCTCAAACTGGAGGTTATGATCCTCAGAAGCGTGGCATAGACTGAGGCGAAGAAGAGAAAGAGGCATCAACTACCTCGTTGTGAACTCAAGTCTGTGGGTGCTAGAATGCTCCCATGCCTTGCCCCTCTTCAGATACTCGTGTCAGGAAGCTTAGCCAGGTCCAGTTTACAGCAGGAAAGCCTAAGTGTTCTATTGGGCCTCTGCTGAGAGATCTATGCTTTCTGTAGATCACCTGTTATTAACTCCTTATTTTCCACTGCGTGTGGCTGAGAAGTGGAGAGCTGGGGTACACAGGAAGAAATTGTGGGGATAGGCAAGGGCAGGAGCCTCTGGGCAAGATGCATGACTGGGACATCCTGAGATGACATTAATACATGCTTCCCTGGTTCCTCCTTGTGTTGTCCTCTGACCCATTACCCTCTGTCCATTTAGCATGCCAAATCAGGTCCTGTTTGCTTCCACAGCTGCAGTGTGTTCATGTCTGTAACGTCCCATTATTCTTCTTTCCCTGTCTTTCCCAATTCTTGTGTAGCAAATTGAGCATGCTGCACTTCTCTCTTGTATACCGACCTTCTGTGGATTTGCAGCCGGAGTTGCCCTGTGTGTTTGGAAGGCACAAGCGCCTGTGCGTGTGGCTGCCGTGTTGAGAATGCAGCTGGGAGTACAAGCAGTGGGAATCGGGAGATGTCGTGACTGAATTGTCTGGGAGAGGTTGGAAATGAGGAGTGAGTGGTAGTCCATGTAATACGACAGGGGATGTAATTTAAGAATTGAAGATGTAGAATGGAGTTTTTTAGGGTAAAGTAATCCATCCAACTATAAATATGTTAATGTATCATATGGTTAGTACATGCCAGAAGCTTAGACTATTACCAAAAAAAAGTGCGATCATGTGGCCAACACCAAAAGTTCAGGAGCAGCTATGCAGGAGTACTGAGGAATGTACTCCTACAGAAAGCAACTGTATGTCAGATACTGTGTGGGGAGTGTATTCCTTATTCCACAGATTTTCACACTTCCATTATTTTTACTTATTTATCCCCCACATGTGTGAATAAATGATGTAATTTATGTTATCAATCAATTACTTTGTCAGAAGACGATACAGTAAATCTTGATCAAAAAGCATAATCATAATTTAATTTTATAAAGGAATCATTGGCTTTAAATCTGATTAATTGCAGTGCTTGAATGTATCCAATTTGAATCCACATGGATTTACAGCTAATGGTAACTGAAATTAAGGTGTGTGAAAATTGATCCTTGTTTTTGATAAATGGCAGCGCTCTCAATCCAAGAATGAATTGAAAACTGATTTACAATATCATGTTAAACTTTTTCAAGCAATTGACTATGTATATCCTGCTGATTTTCTAAGGTGTAAATTTTTCACCTAGCATGATATTCAAAGTGGCATACAGAAGTAATCTTTAATCTAGTACACTAATTGTTAATGAGACCTACTGAGTGCATTAAAATTGTCATTCAGAGTTTGCTATGATTGAAGATGAAAAAAGGCTTTTGTTGTAACTATTTTTACATACTTATGTAAATTTAAGCCCTTTGTCTTTTAGGAAAGAACCATTCTGTGCTTTGTCTCTGACAGAGATAAATATATATACTTTTAAAGTTTGAGAGAGACTTCTATAACCTTTTTAATTAAACTACTTCTGTTTATTTTAAAAAACTCGCTGTTTTTAGAAATGCTTACTATGCAAGTGCATCTTTAGAAGTGAAAGGCAGTTTCAGAACATGGTGATGTATTGATTTTTAGAAAATTGTGGCAGTCTCAAGCTGTATACTGGCAGGTCACTGTTGAAACTTCATTAGTTTTCATGAACACTTAAAAATAGATGAATTTGCAAGTTTCCAAACTGAAATAGCATCTATAATAAGATCTCCCGTAATACAATCAAAATGACTTTAAATCAAAATTTTTAATTTTATGTAATTTCTGAAACAGAGTGGCTACATGCATTTTCACTTAAATCAACAAGTTCTGTGGGTAAGCCCCTGTAGGAATACGGGACAATCTGTTGTCAAATTACCACTACTGTTTTGCATCTTAGCATACTATATGTGGATTTTTCTGTCAGCCTCATATGAAGATCAACACTGGAGTCAGCAATATTCCTTTATAACAATATTGAAGATTTTTATCAAAAGACAGTCGAGCTAGTGCTGTTCACTGCTGCCATCATGTGTCACTGAATATATTGCATAGACTTTTAAACAATACTGTGTTGTACTTATAAATCCAAAATTGGTTTCTTAAAGCCCCCACTGCATCTGTCTTTTAACAAGGGACTAATAAGAAACTTTGAATCTAAACCTGAGTCCTTGAAACTGGAGGAAAATGTCACTCAGTACTGTGTTGGATTGAGTAGATAAATTGGAAAATTTTTGTAAGAAAATACTTTCCTAATATTAAAATGACAGGCATGACTTAAAATTGCCTCTCTACTATGGTTCCGAAGCAGAAGGGTATTTCTGAGTTAAAAAAAAAAAATATTCTAAACTCTTTTTATGCCACCTAAGACAATTCTAACTGAGAATGTGTTTACAAGTGATATGTTCTCTGTGGTTAGCAAAACAAGACTTAAGTGTTTGCAGTGTAAGTATCCCAGTCTTTCCTTTAAAACAGGAAGCTTTTCTTCTTGCAGTCAGATAAGTGGTTTTCAGCACAAGGCAAGCAGAGTTTCGGTTTACATCTATGCATAATAATGGACTCGGAACCTCTGAGTTCTGTGAATACTTCTCAGAACTGTTACACAGTCACTCTGAAATGTTATTTCAAGTACTTTCAAGTGAGATTTAAAATAGTCTTTTCCTAGTGTAATGTCTAAAAGAAAAATGACACTTCCAAGTTGAACTAATCAATGAATTTTCTTTTGACATAGATAAGAAAATTGTAATAACTATGCTGTTCTTTGGGTAGAAGGTCCTGTTACCTCCAGAAGATCAGGAAAAGAAACAAGAAACTTTTTGTAATTTGTTTTGATCACAGATCTACAGTATTGGCTATAACTTAATTTCCCTACTTTTTTTTTCCCTTTAGATATTCGAATACCGTTAATGTGGAAAGGCTCTGATCACTTCAGCAATAAAGAAAGTATGTAAGGTGAAATGAACTACTGTGATAAGCAATTGCTTATGCTTGTAAATTTAAACTGGATGGGGAAGTCCGTACTAATTTCAACCCCTTCTTTGACCTTTCAGTAGGTCTATATTTTACTCCGGTTGTTCTGTAGTTGCTCTTAACTTAAAATTGTTGGTTCTAGCGAGCTGAGTTAGTTCAAAGCCCTGTGGTTCCGTATGTTTAAACCCTAGTCTCTGAAAAGTCCTCCTGAGTAGAAATTCCAGAGGAGGCAACTGAAAAGTGTTGTTATTAAATGACTAGCTGAGAAACTTCTGGTTAAACATGTTGTTCTATGTCTTGTCTGCACTTGAGGGAGTATATTGGAGGCTGTTTCCAGTGAGAAATTTAAATGAAAGTTGTCTGTTGGTGTTGAGTGTATTATTGGATAGTCTTCAAGTACATGCATTTTGCTGTGTCATGGAGATTAACCTTAAATCTGTTCCAGCTGTCACCTGGCATTGATTTCACTTTGATTTTCAATAGGGTCAGAGGGGCTAAGCGTGGCAAAATAGTCTAATCCTATATCGTACTTTCATAAAATGATACAGGCTTTGGTCAAATGTTAGGGTTGTGTTTTTTTTTGTTTTTTTTTTTTTTCTTAAAATCACTTTTATTTTTACTAACATTTCTAAAGTTGTTAGCAAAAACTGTCCCTGATTATCAGGGGAAAAAAAAAAAAATGTTGAGCAGAGGTGGGTCTTTTTTCCCTCTGTGAATGTTGTTCTACCTATACAGCAACTTTGATAGTTCAATTATCATAAAATCGTATGATGAAAATTTATGGTGGGAAGAATTTGAGGGCAATTCCTCAGAGGTCTGAATTACCATTTCTTCTACTTTTGCTTACTGGAAGCATTTAGTATTGTGATGTGCAATATGGCTAATAAAACATTTCTTTGGCTCTCTCCAGAATCACAGCGCTATGCGGTTTTTTGTTTGTTCAGAATGGGAGCTGAGGTTTTTGATACAGAGGTGGCTATTGTGGATAAAGCAATAACAGATATCTGTTTTGAAAATGTAACCATATTGTGAGTATAATTTATTTCTGTTGAATGAAGTATAAATATTGCTGTTTTCTTTTGAAAGTGGATACGATTATGAATAAGATTGGCTGAGGTCCACTTAGTTTTCCTGTGGGCAAATGAATCAGTAGAGGTCCTGTTGATTTCAGTGGATGGTGGATCCCCACCTCTGGAAGGTTGTTTTTTATGTACATAATGATGCTGGTTGTAGATGTACCACTTGAACTGTACTTCTTTTCATTTTTGCCATGCAGAAGCTTTCTTCTTTATATAGAGAGATAAACAAACTTGTACCTCAAGGACAGAATGAAATTAATACTAAAACTGGAAAGCGTTATGAAAGTATAGGCATGAATGTTGCACCCAGTGTTTTAGGTATTATTCTGTACAGCAGGCTACAGTCTTGTTCCACACCGCAAGTTCTGTTACACCTATGTACACATATGAGCATGTGCTATAGCCACAGTCCTTATAATTGGAGAATACTAGACAGGAAATTATTCACTTAGCTTTAAAAGTAATCTGGAAAAGAGTAGAAAGGTGTCCTCATGTACTTTTTTGTTGCTTTAAAATTTTTAAGAGAGTCCTGAGAGGCACTTTTTTTTTTTTTCCCCCTGCTTTATTTTTTATATTAACAATTTAGATTCAGTCTCCTGAGGAAGACTGACTGGAAAGCTAGAACTGCTGAAAACTTTTAAATCCAGATTCTGAAAACCAAGTTGTTGAGAGAGAGTGGATCTTTCAATAATATTTTAAACTCTCTTAAATGCCTCTTCAAGTTAAGAGTGGGGGCAAAGATAGTTTTCAAAGATCTGAGACTGGACCATTATAGTTTTCTGTGAAATACTGCAACAAAAGCAGAAAAGGCACTCTAACTTGCCTTGTATCCTGCAAGATAAAGAAAGACTTTTTATAAAAGCCTTTGGGGCGATTTTGTTATGGGCATGTGTGTAATGACATCATTTGTACTTGGAAGATGGGCTTAGACTTCTGGTTTGATGACTAAGCTTGAGAACAAGAGAATCAGTAAAACTGAAAACAGAGAAAGCACGGGCTGCGGACAGAACAACGCAGCACTAGATAGTTAAGTTATGAATGATGAATTTTGCTGATTGTGAGAGGATTTTTTTCAGTAATGTGAAGGGGATGGGGTGAGACTAAGATGTCTTTAAAACAGTTCAACCTGATTTAGGACCATAGGCATGGATAAGTTTTCAATCATGTGATTTTTGCGTAACAGCAGAGGGCAGATTTAAGTGTGTTTGAATGTCTTGCCTGTGTATTTCCATAACATGGGAGTTTTTTTCAGTTTTTAACATAAACGTTGAATTTCCTGTTTGCAATTGTTTATGGCTTAATTATAACATCCATCTCACGACTTCAACAATAGTTACTGCTGTGTACTCTAGTCTTTAATTCCATATTAATGTATGTCTTCGCCTGAATCTTATGGCATTCCTTCCCTTGATTAGAAATATGTTATTTAATATATATGGCAGCAACAGGGTTCCTTGGCTGCATACTCAGTTTATTAACAAATGCTCTGAAATTTTCTCCTCCCCCTCTTCAGTGATGAAGCAAGACCAGATTTCCAGGTGAAGGTTGAAGTGTATAGTTGCTGTACAGAGGAGTCTTTATATGTAACAAACACTCCTAAGAAACTAGCAAAAAGGCTTAAAACATCCCTCAGCAAAGCTACAGGGAAGAAACTCAAAGCTGCACTGGAAGAAGACAGCACTGAATCCCTTTTGCCCGCTGACCCGGTCATCCAGTAAGCCATATATATTGATAATCTGGTTTTGTCATTTTTAAAATACAAATAAGCCAAATATATTGTAAATTTTTGGAAAATTGCCAAGAAACTGATTATTTCTGTACTTACCCAAGTGAAAAAAAAAATTTACATTTTTAATAGGAAATGAGAAAGTAGGCGTGAATTCTGACCATGTTGCTCGGCCTTGGGGCCTAATCTGATCTTGAAGCACACCAGGAGGCTTTATCTTTCTGCTGCACAGCTAGCTCTAGCTGGTACATCCACTGTTGTTTGCAAACTCTGTAATATTTTTAGTTTGATCTCTGGAGGAAATCAGGCTTGTACAATCAGTCTATCTGTGTCCCTCTGTCTATCTACCTCTCTTTCTTCCTTTCACATTTACTCTTTCCCTCATATTATTTTTGCACCTAGCCAATTTTGCTCGTATTTGACAGACAGGTAGACATGTCTTTAAAGCTACAACTTTTGTGAAATAAGAAAGTATGGTATGTCTACAGGAGAAACCTCTCTTGTACTCTTTCCCCTAATGAAGCTGACCGAACTGTTTGTTGTGCCTGGGGTGCATGCTGTGCACATGGGGGCCGCTCCACTTGCTGGCTTTTCAGTAAAACTCTGGACTCTCAAAGGCACTTTGCAGTTACGGGCTGCTTAACAAGGGTTTTCTTAATTGACTGCAGCACAGACCGTTTTAAAATGACTTACTGTTTTTCAGTGTTCACAGAAATAAGTGCCGTTCCCAGTAATTTACCTGTTTCCTTTTAAAAATTATCTTAAGTCTTTTATGCGTTTTTTAATGAAGCTAACTGCCTACTATTTCCCAAGTACTTTAATTCATTGAGATTTAAGCAGGCCAAGTACCTAAATTGTAAATAATAATAATAATAATATTGATTTTTTTTTTTTTTTCTTTAGAAATTTTTTCAAGGAATTACTTTTTTTTTTTGGCAGCTGAACAGTAAAGAATCAATGCTTAATTTTTGTCAGGTATTGAATGTAGTCCTAGTCTAGCTTCATATATCTATTTGTTAGGGTTTTAAAAGGAAACATTCAAGCGTATTCTGTGTTTCTCAAACCGATATTACTGTATACTGATATGACTGTTTCAGTCAAAAATACACATCCAAGAGATCTTATCAACAGAACAAAGCAAATTTTACCACTAACTTTCCAGTGTGTCCCACCTAATGACAATGTGTCTTTCAATCTGCATCATCTCAGGTGGCTGTGCTTTCCACAAGCTCCAGCTGGAGCTTGACACACTATCATTAGGTACAGTTTGCTTCAGATATAACCACTAGCTTATTTGCTGGCCTTCCTCACTTGAATATAGATTGCCTGTCTTTTAAGAAACAAGTATCAGTAGACAATCTAAACAGCTACCTACTCCCTTGGGTTTTGCTTTTGGTTTCTCAACTGGAATTGTATTTTGCTTTCTTCCATCTTGAAGCTTGTTGTTTCTACTGTAAATAATCATCTCTCAGTGACTGTTACTCTTACACAGAGTTAAACGAACAAAGATGTGTTTAATGGTGACTTTGCGAGGTGATTAAAAAAGATTCTTGGAAATAAATGGGTTATTATAGGCAGAAATAAGTTGTCAATTTTTTTTTTATAGGCTCAGAATTTATATTAGTAAGACCTTGGTATGTAGCCCTTATAAAGGGGAAGAGGTTGCAAGATTACAAGAGATCTTTCAAGTATTCCCAGAGAGTATTACCAGTCCAGCAGGTGAAATTAAACTGCAACAAAAAAGGGAACTTTCTGTATTATATGAACACCTTTTCTCTGTAGATTTCATTTGTACAGGTCTTATTCTTTTCAGAGCACACATGGGTGAACTTCTCCATTTTCCAAAAACTCTGTGATCCTTCTGTGCCAGACTTCTTGGCTTAGAAATCTCCCTGGTTAGTGAGGAAACTGTCAGCTTTGTAACTGCTTGCAAAGGCTTAGTGACAAAGTGCTTTGAATGGTTGTGGTTGCATAGGTTGGTTAACTTCTGTTATACTGATATTCTCTCTACTCTTAATTATCTCTCTTTCCATTTCTATACAGTCTTTTGCCTGCTTTATTTTTCTATTCTAGCTTAAATTTGTTTGTTTTGTTTTGTTTTTTTTCTTTTGACATTTGTCATAGAAGGAAAACGTTTAACACAGTTATACTTTTGAATTCCAGGGTAAGTAGGTTGCTTTTTGGGTAAAATCATTGGAGACACTCCGTAAAGTGCATGTTTATTCACTGGCCTACATATAGACTTGTTATTGCCTTTTATGCATTGTCCTCCACTGGGCTGGAGGCATGGTGTCCTAGGTTTGAATTGGCAAACTCATAGGGATATTTTGCTAAAAGTACATAGTCTAACCTAGTGGTCTCACTTTTACAGTTGGGTTCTTTTTAGTACCTGAAGGTTGTATTTGTTTTTACCTTCTATTATTTAAGATCTGTTTGAAAGGTGAGCATATTAGATTTTTTTTTTTTGACTCACAAATCCTCTGCTCTATATATCTGCATGAGTGAACTAAGACTGGGATTTCTAACATTGGGATTAATATTGAGGAACAGATTCTGAGATCTGAGATGTATTAATTAATATGCATCTATAGAAAGGGTGATATAATTACACCTTCCCACGCCAGTGTCTGTGTGGCAGCTTTGGTGCCTCTGTCTCTTGATCAGCAAACAGATTTAACAACGAACCTTTGCCACAGCATGTTATGAAGTTGAGCTGATTTTTTTTTTTTAAAGTTATTACATGGAAAAATACTATAGATATGCAAAGTACTGAGTGAGATGCAGTAAAAAGATTATTCTTTGTTAGACAAAGAAACTGCCATTTAAGGCAGTTAGCTAATTCTGTGAAATGTAGAGGCAAAACATAGTCAACAATCGCGATTAGTCAGTTAAATTTGAAAAATATGTACAGATAAAACTTTTCTAAATTATATTGCAGTTGGCTGAAAGGAATGACCGTTATATTTTAGAACTAAAATGTTACTGTGAAGCATATTTTAAAAGTGAAGTAGCTATTTTTTTTGGCAAGGTTATTGTGGTAATTAGTCATGCTTTATAAAAAAAGTAACTTTAAAATCAGCACAGAAGTTTTATCTGTGAGAAGAAACTGAACTTTTTGGTACAGTATAAATAGAATGGTGATGTATTGCTCAACTGCATGGCAAAACATAATCAGTGGAGAATCTTTTGTTAGGGAACAGTCTAGCAGGCAATATATACAAATGCTGATGAGATTTTGTTCAGATTGCCCTCTTGAAATGTTTCACAGCAGTGTTTTTTTTCCCAGAATGTTATATTTAATTTTCTCTTTATTCTCTTGAGATAGATGTGTAACAGGCCTCCTTGCTAACAAACTTGCTACTTTTCCTCCTCCTCTTTCATTAGGGTTAGGGCTAGATAGGCATCTGCCTTGTTCCTCTGCAGAGCCAAAGATTTTAAAAGCTTATGTTCCCACTGTGCTATTGGTAGAAATAACATTTGAAAAATACTATGGTAGAAAACTATTTTTTTAGTGATGTTAGTTCAATAGTGTCTTCTCACCTTTTTCACCACTAAGTTATCTTATGCTGTACTAAAAATATTTTAAGGATCTTATGCTAGATCCTGTTAGGGAGAGTAGTTAGTTATTTTAAGGGGTTTGTTTTCTTGTGAACTTTGTTTAAACTGCCATTAGCCAGGTGGAATTCTTACTGCATTACTGGACTGTAAATCTGTTACTTGGTCTGAAGAGTATTTGGGGGAATAGGTTAAACATGTACCAAATTTATACTAGTTTATTCCAGGAATTGCATTCCACGTTCACTGTGCTGAATTGTCAATGTGATTTTTTTTTTTTTCTTTTTTTTTTTTTCCCAGGCAAAATCCAAACCAAAGATATAACATTCTGAAACCTGTAAGCACAATAAGTGAAAGTGCTTTATGCTACAAAACTAATTGTAGCACCTCTGTGCAGATTACTGCATGTGAAGAATCAAGCTATTAGATACTAGTAAAAAATACATATATAAACAACTCTTCTATAAAGTGTATTCTACACAGGCAAAGCAAAAGAGCAGAGCAATGTGGAGGAGCCTTTTAATTTTTAACCTGTATTTTCAGATAAAGTTTATGTCATCAGTTGTTCTATTAACTATATCAATTTTTGAACCTATTACCAAATCTAGTTGATTTAGGCCTAGGACTAAAAGCTGAAAAACTATTAAAAGTTACTTGGTGTCTGACTAGAGAAGAAAGACGCTTTCAGCATCCTCAGGGTGCAGAGAGGTTGGGTAGCATAGCCTTTGGGCCTGAGTTTGGCAGCTGCTGGCTCAGCAGTTGGCGTGAGCCTGGCTCGCGGGCCGTCTGTCTGTGGGCTCGCGGGTCGTCTGTGGGCTCGCGGGTCCCCTGGCTGGCAGGTCCCAGAGAAGTGGCGGTGGGAAGAGCTGCCTGATGGGGCCGGGTGGCGTTGGCCTGGAAGTTGGGGGGTGGGAGGGAACTGGGGGTGTGCACGGGGTGGAGGCAGGAGATAAGGCTGTAGGAAGCAGATGAAGAGGCTGTGGGACAGTGTTGATTTACAAGGAAATCCAGAGATATGGGAGTTCTGTGGGAAGAGGCTGGGAGGTGGCAGCCTGTGGTCACTGACGTGCTGCCTTGCACCTTAGCGTTCCCTGGTACCCAAATGTGTTCTCAGGCATGTCTAGACTCCCTTTAATTACTGCCTGAGCAACATGAAACAGAAGTGTCTTGAACGTGCCTTTTCTTTCACATTTAGTGGAGCAAAGTACAGTTTGCTGGCATATACCACTTTGGGGCTGGAGAGTGCTGAGGACAATTTCAGGACCCACAACCTTACCATTACAGGAAATGGTAAGTACATATGGTACCAATTTAAGGAAATAAAAAACCAGTAACATTTTGCATTTTTCTCTCTTGTAAACTAAAGAGCTTAAAGAGATTATTTTTCTTGATACTTAATATAGAACAACTTTAATAAAATATTTAACAGCTCTAAAATAGGCATCTGTACACAGCTGAATAAACTCTACGTTGAGTAAAATTTCAAGTCCAGATGAAAATTTAGTTCTTTGGGGAGTTTCTTCTGTCAGTTGCATCTCGGTCTTATGCGAGTTGTAGCTATACACACATTATTTCCCCTTCCTCACAACCACGGAAGGGTATCAGAATGAAGAACAGCTTTTTCCTCTCTAGTCATAAGGAAAGTAGAAGAATAGCTTTAGTTGAGCTAGGTTGTTTCAGGCCCAGATTTAACACGGGACATAAGCATGTGTGCTTGCAATTTGTGTTGGTCGCCGTACCTCAGCTCTGGGACAGCACAAGCTGGCAGCAGTCAACCTGGATGCGAACACAACACAGGGCCTATGATTACACGGCAACTGGAGGTAATGTTCTAAGTAGCAGGAGCCCAGGTTTTGATTCGTCGTCCGTTATTTTCTGAAAGGATGGCCCCTCCCATAAGCCACCCTCTAATAGTTAACTTAAGGCATGGGACTTTCACTGAATTTCACTGTAGCTTCTGGGAACTTATCTTTTACTTGGGTAAACTTGACCTCAAAGAGAATTTCATTCTTTACACTTCATAAATTCCGAATAAGTACAGATTTGAAGATTATGGGGCATTTGTTTCTTGAAGGGTTGGATGAATAATTCTGAGTCTCTTTGATATTTGTAAGCCTTTCTTTATTAGTACTTTATACTTTCTCCTTCAAATTCCTTTTTCTGTCATTAATTTACATAATTTAGTCTGGTGAGAAGTGACATACCCGGATATTTTGGTTCATTACAAGCGTTTCTAAAACATGACCAAAGACAGAGTCACGTCAATGGAAAGTTGTATTACCTGCTTCTAATTACAGAAGAGAGAGCCCATTATATAGCAGAGCTGAGCTAGGGGGGATATTGCAATTCATTTGAAACTCCTTGGAATCCTAAATGCTCCTAGTGCTGAAGACAGAAGTAGATGTGAATTCTGAGCCTTAGTAAAACAATCTGAAGCCAAGTGCTCATGTGTAAATGTTGCTGTGCACCACGATGGGATGGGCTCAGGGATCCTACTTAGAAGAGATGGCTACTGTACTTATCTTTCAAAATGTTTCTAGCTGTGAAATGAGATTGAGCTATACTTTATGTAAAAAAACCTTATTCTTGCACAGCAATAGCTCCATTTTTACTTGAAATTCTTTTGGATTTTTTTTTTTTAATTAAAAAAAACTTACTGAAGACTAAAAATCAGTTTTAATCTAATCCTACAGGATAAAATCTCTTTCTTTAAATATAAAAAATGCTTATTTACATTTATGATCTTAATATAGAAATGGATGTAGAAAGCTAAACTATGTATTTAGGTCAAATGTGTGGAACTAAGTGTTTGTCTTTTTTTTGCCTTGTCTTTTCCCCCAGAGGAATCTTCTTTTTGGCTCCCTCTCTATGGAAACATGTGTTGCCGTTTAGTTGCTCAGCCTTCCTGCATGGCGAGGGATGTGATGGAAGGATTTCTTAATCAGCAGGTAGGAAGACCTTGCTTGTGTTTACATCCTCTTCTGTTAATAGCTGTCACTAGGAGTCAATTGTTAAAATGTTTGCTTTTACCTGAAGTGGTTCCATGAGAACTGTTATTTTTCACCTGTTCTACCTAGAACAAGGGAAAAATTTATCTCACAGCTGCATTTACAAACGGTATCTTCAGTGCCTAAGCACGAAGAAGTAAATGTTTCCTTGGTGTGTTTATCAATAAAATTATTTAGGCTGTTACATAAAGACCAAATATAATTGTTGTTTCAGAATTGGTTTAGGCTGGTACTTGCTGGCAGCAATCCTAATAATCCAGTGGCTCTCATCCTTGTACATACCCCTCATTGTGCTGGCCCAAGAGTTCATATCGCAGCATGGTGAATCTGGCTGCTGATGTGAGCCATATTTAAATTCATCCCTTCAAAAACAGTTCTTCTTACTTCTCTATTTTGGCTCATTGCACAACTAGCCAAAACAGAAGGTGGTAGCAGAGGGACAGAGGGGCTTGGGTCATTAGCTTTAAACTGGTTATGAAACTATAAATGCATTTATGAAAGCTGTTCAGAAAATTAATTTGCGAAAGTGGAAATTCTAGACGAATGTCTTTGCTTGACATTTGTGGAATGTGGTGTGTATTTCCAAAGTGAGATACTCTTTTTATTTCTCTTATGTAATTACTGTAGCTAATAAAGGTGGTTTCCTTCTTACAGAAGACATCAGTTCTAGACTTCATTCTGCGTGAATCCACAGATTCTGTATCACTAGTGTCACATGACAGTAAATCTGCGAAAACTGTAAAACACCAAAGGACATTTAAAGCATTGCTAACATTTGAAAAGTCAGTGATTCTGAAATGTTCTGCAACAGAAAGTCTTTGTTTCAGGAAAGAGTTCAGTGTGGCTAAGTTTTGATCACATAGGACTGATCTGTGTATACTTTGTAATATGCTCTTAATCTATAGTTTATGTTTGGCAATTTCTGACTGTTTCTTCCCTTTAGCAAACGATAGGAAGCCTGACTAGCTGGAGGAGGTTGTATTGCGTACTAAGAGGTGGCAAGCTCTTTTGTTATTACTCACCAGAAGAAATTGAGGCTAAATTGGAGCCAGCATTGACAGTTCCCATCCACAAGGTACAATTGGCTGTATGGGTTTGTTTTGGTTTGGAGTTTTTGTTTATTTTGGGGGGTGGTTGTTTTTGTTTAAAGACATACCTATGGTCATTTGGGCTCTAAGCTGCTGGTATGCGAAATGCTTTATAGGTAGCATGTGGGTGGGATATGCTTCAGTGAAATTTGCAGTCCCTGAATTTTTTAGCAAGGACATTAAATTTCTTAGCTGTGGACATAAGTTCCTTCTATTGCATTAAACTGGTTAACATAGAGGTAAAAAGGAGGATGCTTTTCTTTAGGAAAAGTGGTAAGTTGTTATATGACAGTTCCATAAGACAGCCCTTGGAAATGTCTTGCTTACAGTCCCTTAGCAATGCTCCGGTAGAGTTTTGTCCTTAGCAAGGTAGAATTTTAACAAAAGCTTTTTTGTTGTTGTGTGTTACTTGGCCACAGTCTTAATTAGAAGGAGAGCTGGAAAGTTTTTCAAAATATTTCACTGCCTTAAAATAAGCTGCTTTTCTTAATACTGGTTTTGTGCAGGGCACAATAACTTTGGAAGTTCTGTTCTCTAGGTTCATATTACTGCTGCTTTTGATACCCTGATTGGAAAGGCTGAGTAAAACTTAAAGAGAAAATGTTACTTACTACTTGGCTGAAGAAACATTAAGTATTTCATCTGAAGTAAAATTTAAGTGTTCAGCGTAGGAATGTTATTGGAAGGACCTTCTAGAATGGCAAGTGTTAGAGTGAACAAATGCTTTCAAAAACCGGTTTTGGTGCAGTCATCAAGGGTTAATATCACATAAGGATGAACGGAGGAATTTAATGTTATTTGCAGTTGATGTAGCTGGATTCGTCTCATATAAGTAGACAGTCACATTTGGAAACTGTGCTAAGCACAGGTCGATCTGGATTCGGCTGCTGTACTACTGTGAACGCGTGATGCCAACCCTAATTCTGAAGGAAGCATTCCTCCCGTCCAGTCGCTTGTTCAGCCTGCTGTGCTGCTTTGTGCAGGGCAGCTGGCCGATGAATTGGACAAGGGAACTGATGTGGATTAAAATTAGCTCGTTTGGGGGGCAGGAGGAAGGTTCGCTTCAACAGTGGTTCCCTTAATAAATTCTCTCACCCAGTTCACTCCATGGCTACACAAATGCTTGTGTGGTACAAGAAAGAGGCTAGGCTATGATCGGGAACGCATAGGGACATAGAGTAATAAAGAACTGCTTCTTACAACAGCAAGATCGGCTTTTGGTGGCTTTAAAGCTTCTGGAAAATATGACTGCATTCTCACCTAGAGTGAGACTTGTATATAAACCAAACATTTAAACTAGGCTGTTTGTGTTAGGATTTCTTTTTAACTATGCTAAGATTTAAGTTGATTCCTTAATTAAAAACAACTTTCTGCTAGTGCCATATCTTTTATCAAAACCATTTTTTTCTTCTAATTGTTCATGCATTTACATTAAATATTTGGACTGTGATTTAAATTTTAAGAAGGCTTGCTTGCTTACCCTTTCAGTCACTTTTAATTGTACTAGTCAGCATTTGCCATAATTCTGTTTTCCAGCTGTTCACAGTATCAGTTAAGAAATGGTAAACTTTAGTAAATTATAGAATGGCTAAATCCATATTCTAAAATGTGATGGTAATATTTAAAAAAATTATCTATCGGGCTACCTCATATCTTTCCTTGGAGGTCTCTGTGTTTTGATCTGTATCCTAGTTTTGCTTTTCCTTTTAAAATAACCACATTCTAGTAAGGGATTTTGCTCTTTCAAGATACCAAAACACTTAGAACCTAAAACCCAGCTTAATAAGCCTTTGCTGGGAGACTGTCCCGTACATTTGCAGAGTACCCTTAAAGCTAACATGGAGAAGGTATATAAATCATGTTTCTTATACCATTTTACAAAAATGTCAGACTGCTGGAGAATATGACTGTGAATTCTTCAATTTAAATTAAAACCAGAAAAAAGTTGCTATTTAAAACGTATTTGGATACTTTACTGCTTAAACAGTTTCTCTTGAAAATAACTTAATGTCTGCAGATATTTTTTTGATTTCTTTGTTGAGAAATTTCTTTTACGGATTAAGTGAAAGCAAACTAATCATATGGGCTTGTCTGCTACATGTTGTTATAGAAACAGCAATTTCAAAATGAAAGTTGAGATTGAACATCAGCTCTAGACGTTCTAACTAAAATCTCTTCTGGTTGCATATGTGGCATTTTCATTTGCAATGTGAAGCTGATCCTTTACATGTAATTGAAAGATACTTTCTGAAAAGTAATGAAATCATCTGGATTTATGAGAAACTCTCTGGAAAATATTCACACTGATAGCCTTATTTCCCATTCCCTTTGAATCGAGACTTGAAGAAGCCATTAAGACCAGCAAAGTCATTACTTCAACTTCAGATGACTTCACTGCTACTGCTGTTGAGCAAGAATGGTTCTGCAGTTTCTATTATGCAAGTGCTACTATTATTGTTCCAGCTAAATGTGATTATAACATATTATATTGCACAACTAAGTAGGAAAAGAGAAATGATATTTTCTGTAGCAAAGAAAATTTGCTGAAATCCAATTTGAACAAGAAATATTCCTTATGAGCCGGTTCCTGAAATTTTTTCAAGCTTTCTTTAGTTTGAAATTATTAATAAAGGCCTTGCCTATACCTGATAGCTCAGCACATTGGTGCATGTGCCAGCAGTTGCCGTTAGTTGCTCAGTATTTGGAATACACATTCTATTGTGTTCTGGTCATAGATTATAGGGCTCTTTTTGTGCCAGGTATGCCTGAAGCTTGAGGAATTCTGGGACGCCACTTCGAATTAATGTAGGCCCATTATTTTCTTTCTGGCACACTTTGCCAGTGCAATCTTTGCTCTGGTATCACACAGTGCAGCCGGCCCAGAGCTATCTCCGTGTTCGTGCTAATCGTTGAGGTGAGCAGGATGAAGAACAGCAAAGTGTTTGCAGCCATGGGCTCATGGTTGCTTAACAGTGTAGCAGAAGTGAAAGGACAAAATCAAGCTGGCACTTCTGCAGACTGTTACCTTCTTCTTGGAACGTCATCCTGGGCTAGATGAGGTAGAGGAATTCATTAGAAAATGTACCAGTGTCTGCAGCAGCATAATTTCAAGGGAATCATGCGGTATTTCTGGGAAACCAGGGATTTCACCCTTGGACTGGAGCAGGAGGATATTGATATGAGGTTTTGACCGTGTAAACGTTTAGGGAGCCAGCAATACGAGCAATATTCTCTGTGTGTGTCAGGGAACTCCAGCAGTGGTGAAAAAAGAGGAGCTGTGAAAACTTCTATGTTCTCTGTAGTAAAGACTTTGTCCCACTGCTTGGTTTAGACAAGCCTTCATACTTGTGAAAATATTTTGGAAAAGCACAGACTAAGTGCCTCCAAATGTCTGGTATCTCACATAGCATCGCTCAATTTAGTCCTGCAGTTGCTTGAAAGAGATTGTGGATGCGGGCAGGGAAAGCAGATATAATACCCAAATCCCACACGGTTGACCTTATAACACACATGCTCAGATTGAGTGGTTTGGAAACTGTGCTTTATGGTTCCCTGGTGTTCCGCAGAATGCTGGCTGGTCATATAATGCCATCTCCTTCTCCTGGTTTTTAGCTGCAGCGTTGCACTGAAGCTAGCTAAAATGACACAGAAATCCTAATATTGCTTTTCCATATAATACTTACCATCCAAGTGGCCACAAGGATGTTAAATTAATACAACTTCACAAAACAATGAAGATGAAAGGAGAAAATACTTGTAGCTGATCTGGTGAATTTGCTCTTATGCATTAATGTATTTGAAAGCCATAATTTTAAATTTAATCATATTCTCCTGCCTGCCTAAAACAGACCCCATGCAAGTTATTAACATTACAGCAGAAACCAACACATGAAGAGATTATATTTTGTTTCCAGTTGTTGTGTTGTAATTTCTTGGTTTATTTTTTGGTACTAAAAACATGAAAGAAGTTTGTTATATGTGATTTGGCTTGTTTAACACAAGGTAGATACACAGAAATGGATCTTAGGTTATTCAATATTTTTCTCAAGAATTATAATTTGTTTTGATGTCTTAAAATGATCTGTATAATCAGTGCCCCTCAGTGTGCCAGGATTGGCTTAGCAGGAAAGTGTTGCACCTCAGCAATAAAAAACTTTGTTCTCTCCTTTTTTTTTTTTTTCTTTTTTTTTCTTCCTTTATTGTTTCTATTTTCTTTTAGACTTAAAAGATGAGCTTTTCAGAGAGGTAATATTAGGCAAAGAGATTTTTTTATTTGAGGAGAAAAATATAGAGGAAAGTTTGTATTTGTATTCCATTAAAAAAAAAAATATCATTTTCCCATTTAGTCTTTCCTCACCTTCAAAAAATTAATCTTGCATATAAGATGTAAAACTGGCTTCAGCTTCCCCAGAAGAGTCGTCTGAGTTCAAGATTCAGTTCAGTTTTTCCTATTCTGATCCACTGATTGTTCTGGTCTTTACCATAACTGTAGCAGAGTTGAGTCAGTTGTCTATAAGACTGTGAAAAATTGAGCATTATTATAACATGATACCTTAAGACACATTTTTTATCCTTGCTTTGTTTTTTTTTGTGTTTTGTTTGGTGCTGGGCTTTTTTTTTTTTTTTTTTTTTCCCGTTGTTGTTGTTGTTAAGTGGAACTGGGCATGTAGCATAGTTCACCCAAGCTTGGTAAATTCATCAGCCCATTACCGTAACGGCATCTTGTATCCCTCCTTTAAATATTCAAGCATCAGATATAGATCGTTGCTTGAGGATTTGTCTCCTTTGAATAATACCATAGTTGTGGGATAAAACCTGCAGCAAACATCATTAAATAAACTTGTGTGTATGGTATGCTTGAAGTTCTTACCTGTCAAATGTTAATCTATTTGATTTAATTTTTTTGCTGGTATCTATGGTTACCTGAGTTAATGGGATATAGAGCACTTATGGATGAATTACTTCATCTCCTATTTTTAGACAGAAGAATTTAAATGAGCATATCCATCAGATATGCTACAAGCAGCTGTTGGTATTTCAAATGGTTACTTCAGTAATGCATTTAAAATCTGGGGAACGTTCTGTGGAATAATTTTTGTTTTTCTGAGTATCAGAACTAGGCTTATCCCCATGGGATCCCATGTGTAAATTTAATTTCTGTAGGTGTGTGTTTGACATCTTTAGCAGATGTTTGACATTTGGTTGAATCGTGTAAAAAGGAACGTGGTTGGTCTGTCCCCACCGTCTTTTGAGGAATGCCCCGAGGCCACCTCTGTGGTCAAGATTCACCGTCCACCCAGGCGGGAGACGTTCGAGCACAGCCCTGGCTGTGGTGGCTGCCTTCCTTCAAAACGCGGGGGGACACCCCGGTGCGAGGGGCACCCCGGTGCGGCAGGAGGGCCCTGCCCGGCTCCTGTCGGCTGCCGCCCGGCTTCCTGGTGCCGAGCCTCATCGTCCCGCCAGGACTTGGGGTTGTGCTGCTCTCCTGGGTTCGCCAAAAATCCCTTCAGGAGCAGTGCTGTGGTAGGCTGTTGCTTGTTCAGCCAGGTTGAATCGTGTATGCAAAGACATTCCCGTATGGATATTTTTAATTGTTTCTGTGTAGCTTTCCCTAATTGAGGCAAAACTAAAACGTCTATTTTGAAGTGACAAAAAGGATTTTTTTTTATATTAGAACAAAATGTTTTTTCATGCTGGATATTTGTTCTACGAGAACGGCATGGGTTAGTGCTACAAATGCTCCTTTAAATTTGGACTAGATAAGTTTCCTTTAACTGTAGTATTAGCCCCGAATGTCCTGATTAACTAAGATGAAATAAAATAGATACAACTTTAGAATAGATTACATAAACAATGCCCACAGAAGTACATTAGGAGACAAACAGTAGCTGTAACGATGTGGTTGTCCAGAGGAAAGGCCCTGCTTGCTGTTTTTTTAGATTATTCACTAAACTACCGTGGAGAAGAACGAGCCGCGTGAGATGAGCTGGCGAAGGCAGAGAGAGGGGAAACACAGAATGCACATTCTGTAATTCAGAACTAAACTGCAATAATTGTGCTCCATTCCCTTATTTTTTGTATTTTATACCATTTTAATAGTTTTATGAGAAAATATTTTTATGAGCAGCTCTTGACATTAGTTCACTTTTTTTTTTTCTTTATTAATTGGAAATTAATCTGGATTAGATAAAAAGAGATGATATTTCCCTTACACTGTCATTGGCCATAAGGTGAAACTGATGTGGAGCTGAAGCAATAACTCATGACCACAGTTTGCTGTTCCTAGGAAACGAGAATTCGAGCTGTGGATAAGGACTCCAAGAGAAGAACTAGTAACTTCTCTGTTATCAACCCTGTGTCTGGAGAGGCTGTGACGCAACTTTTTGCTACTGACAGTAGGGACGAACTTCATAAGTGGATGGAGGCTTTCTGGCAGCACTTTTATGATCTGAGTAAGTAAGCAGACAGTGCTGGCAGCGTGCCCTCCGAGTGGGGTGTTATGTAACATCAAAGGGATCTTTGAACAATTTGAATTGGAATTGCCTCATAAGCCTTTGTTTGCAACGATGGGAAGAAAAACGTTCTTTGGGATAATATTAGGTGGTGGTCTAAGCTGTTGGAAAGCAAATATTTGGCTAAACCAAAGTCCACGTCTTCAGTCTGGGTTTTTGCAGGAAACCAAAAGCAGAATATGTCCATCAATCTCAAAAGAACTTGGTCTCTTTTAGCAGTGTTCTAGATATTTTTTTTAAGGACTGCTAAATTCTCACCACCTCTTCCTCTACTGTAGCAGGAAGAGCCCACCTCTGCCTGGGCATCCTACCAGTGGTGTGTTGGTTTGGTGAGATTCTGCACATATAAAACCCTTGGGTGTGGAAACGTTAGTGGGAAGTGGTGGGGATGCTGGATTCATTTGGGGCCGTGGCTAGGGTGCAGACTCTGCCAACTCTTGTAAGTAGGCACATGTATATGGGATTTCTTTGCTCAATAGTATTTTGGATGAATAAAATTGTAATTTATTGCAATAGGCATTACATGATTCTGTTGGTAATTCCAAGGTTTTGGTACCCCTTATTACATGGGAATATGCTCACCTAGGCACGCTCCAGTCCAGTTATGCAAATACACACTGCTTACTTGAACCTGGTAAATGCTGCACCTGAGGCTTGGGAACAGATGATACAAATGAGATGATGAATTGATACCCTGATCTTTTGGCTAACCTGGAACAACGCTGTTCTTACATAAGAGAAAAAAATTCATTTATTAGTGTAAAACAGTGAAACTGTATTGAAGTAGTATACTGTGTTGCTTGATTAACACCATATATTTATTATAAGAACTATAGAGATTAATTTGTCTTTGTTTTTTTCCTCTGCTTTAGTAGTTTGACCCACAGGTTTATTAGGAGTAGTACAAAGCTGTCAGTTATTATGCTGTCATTGACAAGGTATAGTTGGTTTCCGATAGTCATTTTTATCAGGTCAGAAAACAGAACCAGGTCAATTAACGAAATATCAGACTTTAGTCAGAGACCACACCAATAAAAATCAGTGAATTAAGGTTGTGGAAACTCACCATTGTAGTTCATATTTCTAGTCCTTTCTAGCTCTGATTTACAATGAGAAAAGGCTCTATCAATTAAAGAAACATACCAAGCAAAAACTAGGGCATCCTCTTTAAATTAGCGCAGAGTGGGGTAAAAGAACTACTTCTTATTCATTATAGATAGAATACCGATGGATTTTTTGAGACATTTTCCTTAGGTTCAGAAAAAATGGGTCACTTGGCATTTAAATGCCTTTTTTCTTCCCTGGTTCTAAAATTCTCTTAAAATTAATGTGCTCAGAAAACTTGGAATGATTGGTATGAACAAAGTAATTTTACTGTGTCTTGTTTTCCTTAAGGTCAAAATCTATTAATAGAAAAAGAGGTTTCCTTGTCTGCTAACGGATAAAAGGCAAGTTATCCTCTATTAAAGACAGAACATTACTATAACATTGTAACGTAGTTGTATAACATCCAGTTTGCAGTATATTGCAGGTTGTCCCCAATAGCTTGGTGAAGCTTCCCTAACCTTAATTTATTACTTTTTTCAGGTGTTTTATTTTTTCTGGGTTTGGGGATTTGAAGGCAAATTATGATATTTAACCTGCATAGGATAACTGTACTACTGGAATGCTTAAATTAAAGGTATGACCTTTATTTTATGGTCACCTTACGACCTTTGTGCTAAGAGAATGAGTACAGAGTGGAAAATACAAATGCATCCTGAGCACTCCTGCTAAACACAAGTAAATGCTTACTGTTTAGCATTGCTTTGGAGATAGTCTCCTAACACAACCTAATAACTTCAATTATTTTCAAGCTGAAGTGTTTAAGTTCCAGTCATTGTTCTCTTTTCTCTCTCAGGCCAGTGGAAACATTGCTGTGAAGAATTTATGAAAATTGAGATTATGTCACCACGGAAACCACCTTTGTTCTTGACAAAAGAAGCGACCTCCGTCTACCATGATATGAGTAAGTGGGATTTGTCTTTTCAAGTTGCAGGGTAACAGAAACAACATTGTATTCAGATGGCTTCTGGTGTTGATGTTGAAACACTGAGTTTTTCAAGGACAATTCAGACAATGAAAGAGCAACATAATTGCATACCAAGGAGTTCATATTAAATCTGAATTTGTAATAGCACAAATAATGAATACATTTTTATACCTTGAGCCAAAAAATCTGCAATCTGAACTCTAACTAGGGAGCCCTGAACACGTTCAAAAAAGCTGTCACTAGAAATAAACGCTCTTCGTAAGAGTGGTGTAAAGCTCAGGAAATGTAAAGGTAAAATAGTCCAGTCTGCAAACCAATAATGTCTTTAACTAGTTGCATGAAATTAATTTGCTGTTCTTAAAGCTATTTAAAGGCTTACCTAACATAACTTACCTAATTGTTTGGTCTTTGGTAATGGTGTCGAAAAATACGCTTGGAAAATCTAGCTAGCATGTATTTGAGACTTGTATTTTTACAGAGCAAAATGGTATGCAGCAGGATTATTTTAATAGTTTCATTACAGAAATAATATTTACAGACTAGAAAAAGTAGGTCACTTTGTTTTAATGGATCCGATGCAGTATTGGCTGAGAAACACTGTACAACTATAAATGCCTGACTGCTTGCTGCTTGAGATTGGAACTGTGAAGGTGCTCAAAATGCCATGCGGGTCATTGAGTTACCGTGCATCAGAGCACTGAACAGTCAAGAGAGTCCTATCTAAGCTATGAAGGCAGAGCAGAAAAGCAGTAAATCAACTATATAGAAGTTTTATGAAGGTAACAAGGTAGCATAATTCTACTGATATTCGGGTATATCAGTGAGGAGCAGAACACAAACTCTGTTTCACTCCTAATATACCAGGGTTTTTTCCCTGCTTATTTATAGTAAAACCCTGTGGTTTGTTTTTTTTTTTTTTTTTTTACCATAGGTAAAACCCTGTGTTTAAAAATGTGATGAAAATCATTAACGTGTGGCATGCAATAGAAAAGATATTACTGCTGTTTGAGGCTAGTATTACTGCAGTATACGTAGAAGACTCAATATGAGGGATAAGAAATGGGGCAAGACGGTCTTAAAGCACATAAAGAAAAATGATATATGTAAAGATGTCCCATTTTCTGCAGGCTGGAAGCACAAGAATATTTAGTCATAGACTTTCATGGGCCTTCTGTGAAACGAAAATTTCAAAGCACTATACAACAAAATATGTTTAATATCAAGTACATATAGGTTTCCTAGTAGTACATTATTTTTTCTACTTCTACTTGGAAAGAAATGTCAATGCCTACCCCATTCCTCAATCCAGCTGTCATGAAAACAATTCCTTCCTGTCACCTCAGTTCTCTTTGGAAGCATACGTAATCTTTTCCATTTCATCCATTAATACTCTTAATAGTAGTCCAGACTTTTTATGAGACATAGTTAATATGGTTTTGTATTCTGAATAGTAATAACGAAATAGGTAGCAGTAAAGTCATCGGTAATGTTTTAATCCGAGTTAATTGCTGTCCCTTCAAATTACAGGCATTGATTCTCCAGTGAAACATGAGGGCTTAGCTGATATCATACAAAGAAAAATTGAAGAGAGTGATGGTGAGTTCCTGCTTGGCCAGCAAAAAGAGTCTGCATCTTCCTTATGGGCTCCTCTCTTTGACGGATCTCATGAGATGGTTGTTCAGAAAAACATGCATCTGGGCCCAAAAAGAGATATTACAAGTCCTAATGATAACAGAGGAAAGAAAAGAAGAGCTCCACCTCCACCCTCCGATAAGTCACCGTACAGTGCAAAAGCACACGTAAACACAGAGCAATTGGGCAAGGAAAACCGGGAGAAGTCTGATCACGCGTCTGCTAGTAGTTCTTCCTTTGATTCAGAGTTACCTATGAAAATGCAGCAGTTGCAGACACCCATTGCTGCTCCTCGCAAAATTGGTTCTTGTAGAAAAACCAGTTTAGCTGGTCATGGGAATCCCATTTCGTTGGTTAACAAGACCGAGTCTGAAACCAAAGCGGTGCCAACCCCTAGACAGAAATGCATCACAGAAATGCTAGACCCTAGAACATGGGTGCAGCCATAGACATCATAATTATCTTAGAAGAGTCCCTGGAATTTTAAGTTTCTCAGCCTTCTATAACTCTTGAGTAAAAATAGATTTTAGCGTACAACTTGTAAGTATTGAGTCTGCAGGTTTTTTCTTTTAGCCAGGGCATTACTACTAGCTGCGGTCTCAGCTGTACTCCTTACTGCCAACACCTAAATAACTGCAGTAGTAACAGGGGCAGTTGCCTCTATCTGAAATAATAGTGCTACTTCTGAAGAGAGTGGCTCAGTGCGTTCCCCTCGAAAAGCCGGCAATGTTCAGGGTAACTCCATGTCCCTGCAGCAGGGATGTTGCCACTGCCTTCTGCCAGTCCCCCAGCTGAGCCCGTCTGCAGCTCTTAGACTAGTTCAAGGGGGAATTTCACACAGATCGTGCAAAGCTGACTTTGTGGGGCTCCATGCTTGGCTTCACCTAAAATATTCTTCTCCCCCTCACTGTTTGGGAACCACGGCTTGTAAGACAGTGTACTAGCAAAAATTACTGTGCTCTTCTGAATGGCTCTGTAACTATAAATTTTGGAAGCAGTTCTATCAATTTAGTGTGGGATCTCCTAAGTTCTTGCTGGTGCATGCGCTGTCCAAATGGACCGGGTTTTTCTGTGTATGAGCAAGGATGTTGATCTATCACTGCTGCTGATTTTGGACTAACACGAACGTGTAAGAGCAGTACTGTGTATGAATGCCTATGCGGGATTTCATTTGCATGGTTGTCTTTTCTAGTGAATGGGGCTCTGTAGCATTGCTTCTCCTTTGTGGAGCCTCTCAGCGGTTCCTGGTGGGTAGCTGGTTGGTAAGCATGGCAGTGTTACTGGTAAATAGGGGTTTTTCCACCACTTGTTCTTTCTGAGAGAGCAGAGAATAAGTACTTGAGGTGAAAATATTGAACTTTGATATTCTTCCATCAGACTGTTTGCCATTTTTGTAGGAAGCGTGGATTATTAGGGTTCCTGTGGCACCTGCAAAACATACATTGCATACAGAAAAGATCCTGTTCTCCTGGATCCACAGCTTAAATATCCAACCTTTCCTTGGTTGGTGCATTTATCTCAGACACTGGAACTTATCCAAGAGCAAAGATCTGCTTGCAGATCTCCCTCCAGAGCCTTGGTATTCAGACCTGTGTTGGAAGAGTCATATCAGCAACGGTATACATACAGTTCACTAATTTTTTTTTTTTTTTTTTTTTCTCCCTAAAGTGCAGATGGCTTTAGGAGCTTTACCATTTCTCCATAAGATATTGTGTGCATGGTTGGTTGGTTTGGTTTTATCTATTTTTTTTGTCTTCTGCTAAGCTCTTGGCTGTGCAGCTGTAAAGGTATCTGCTGAATTCCCTCAGTAGTTCATTGGCTATTTGGGATGGGGCTTGAGAGGCAGGTTTCATTTACAAATCCTTTCGTAGGATTAGAGGCTTTGTTTCTAGAATGTCCTTGTTCATTCTTCGTTTAATCACATTCCATTTTCCCTGTGAAACAACCATAATCATTCTTACAATAAATCATGCTGTTACTTAAGTGGATGGTTTGTGAATGGTTTATAAATAGGAACAGAAAAACTGAAGAATAACTACATGATTATGTAAATCAGACACAGTTGACTAAGTGGACTGTGCAACTGAAAAAGAAATAGGAAAAATAAACAGGGGGGGGAAAAAAAGGCGTATTTTTCCAAAATGCAGCTGCAGTTTATTTAGCTTTAAATCTAGTCTTAAATGTTACTGTGCTCTGGGAAGAAAAAGAAAGAATACCTTTTCCTTGGTAACCCCCTTCCATTTAGTTGTTATATTTCAAAATAAATCTTATAAATATATAAGTCAAGAAGGCACCATAATGAGGATTTATTTTTAAATTCAACAGGCCATTGAATTTCAACGAGCAGTTTCTCTATTAAATTCAGTGGCTTTGTTTTGAACTGAACATACATATTTTAGGAAGGCATTTAATATTAATTTAGAGTCTTCAAGTGATGAGAATTCACTCATACCTCCTGTTGCAATAGTTAATTACCCTAGGTACATTTTTCGCTTGATTTTCTATTTGCATTTTTAGCTCCACCTTAAGTTATTTTGGTCTTTTGTGCATTTGATTGCTTATATTGATCTCTGTAGTATCAGCTTTTCTAATTGCTTGTGTGTAGTTATAAATCATGATTATGTCCCTTTTAACCTTTTCTCTGATGAGATGTACTGAATTCCTTAACTTTCTTGTGGCGATGAATGTTATCTAAGACTAATTAATCTTCACGTTATTCTCTGTACTTCTCACGTATTGAGATATTTTTAAGTGTGGAATCTGAATTAGATGCCACATGTCAACAGAGATCCATCAGGACTACATAAAGACATAACGTGATCCTCTTACTCTGATTAATATCTCCCTCCCCTCTTTCCTCAAACATTGTATTATCCTTTTTTTGTGGAAGCATTGCCTTGGATGCAGGCTTCTATGGCTCAAGTCCTCTTCAGAGTCTTCTTCGAGAATGTGGTACATCATCCTCTTATTATCCTACTTATTTTTCCTTAGAAATATACACTGTATTTTACCAGCATTAAAATACTGCTCATGAAGTGATCCAGATTGCTCTGTATAACTGACCTGTCCTCATTCTTTACTACTCCAGCAGTCTGCATGTCCTTTGCAAATTTATTGCAAGTGATTTTTACAGTTTCTTCCAGATCATTGATTTTTAAAATTGAATGCAAGGCAAGGTTTGTAGAGAGAGGTGATAAGTTTTTATTACATCAGTGACATGGGTAGGGGGGTGGGGAAAAGCAAACAGACAGGCCATCGAGTTCGTGTCCCATTTTTCCCAGAGCCTTTAAAAAATTGAGTAAGATGGAAAACCACTATACTTCTTGCTGATTCCCTATTAATACTGCATTCTGAAATTAGATTTCTGTCTCCAACATAACATTCTATATTGATTTGACCTAGTACTGATATTTTAAAGAAAGTGACAAGTTCGTCTGGTTTTCAGTAGGTGACTTGGGGTTCTTGTGGGTAACACCTCAGCATGGCTGTCTTTGCAAGCTGAGCTTGAGTAAAATGCAACCAGTTGTTCAAGACTGATTCTCCGTGAAGCTGTGTTGATTGACATTTTAGATCTATCCTTAAATTAGACTCAGATAAGCTAGTTCACTATATTGCCCTGATCGCCACTAAGCAAACTAGGCCATTAATTACCCTGATCATCCTGCTCCAGAACAGCAGTGGTGTTCTTATGGTCCTGTAAAATGTCACGAGTGCTGGCACTTGTTTAACTTATTGCACATTTAGGCTTCTGTTAAACAACCACTATATAATCCCTATTATGAAGCATCGGTTGACTTTAGGTCTTAGTATTTATTGTTACCGATTTAGTATTTTATTTTTTTCCCTTCTGTATTGCCATTTATTATTGCCTTCGCATCTTCTGTTAAGCAAGTTGGTTTAATTGATAAAAACTGCAGGCTACCAGCAAATGTTTATCTTGGCGATACAGAATAGTCAGTTGTAGGAAATACATTTATTCTCAGCTTTTGTCTACACATGAGAACATAAATATTAGTCATAAAAACAGAGCGCAATTTTAGGAGTATAATTAGAAAATATATCTGTGAGGAAAATTGACATTTTTTTGTTCTTTCCATAAGGTGGCAAATCGTAATACTTCATTACTTACCATTTCATAGGCTTGTTCAGAAACTGGAACTCTTCCTATGTTTTTTTTTGTCCCCTCAAGTTTTCCTGACTACTATGAGAATGAATATTTAAAATGGGAATTAAGACCAATAAATTGCTTGTGCCCAAGCACTCTAATAGGAGGAAGCCGGCTATGTTGCAGTGTAGCGCAGTGAAGGTGCTGGTGGCATCTGCTGCTGCCCAACTACACGTGTGATTGGGTGTTTTTCTGAGGAATAGGTCAGGCCAGCTCTGAAAATGGTACCTGCTGGTTCGCTGCTGGAATGAATTAGTTGCTGCTTAAAAGCAGACTTAAGTAGTGGGATTGCCATCTTGAAGTCAGGCGGAGACAATAGTCAGCCTCAACTCTTCTTTCAGGAAGCACAACTTGAAAGCAATTGCTAGTCCAAACTTGAATATAAATTTCACAGAACATGAACAACTTTTGAAATATTGACTCAACAAAGACTTAATTTAGTAACTTTTTATATTATACCTAATCTCTTCAGCTATTCACTTGGTCTTGGAACGGCAGATGGTACTTTTTGCCATTTTAAAGACGTTAGCTTAAAATGTTTACATTCTTACTAGTGTTGTGATTTTGGTTTTTTTTTTTCTGTGGTAGTTATATTAATAGTTATTGTGGTTTGTACATATTTGGAAATACTGTCCTAGTGTTCAGAGTTGATTTGTAATTAATGTAGATTGACTTAATAGAAAAATGCAGATTTCGACACTAATGTATTGTGAAATGTTAAAACAGCAATCTTTTTTTGCTGCTAACATATTGTATTTCTATTAAAATATGCAAGCGAAATTAAAAACGTTTCTAGAGTAAAAGAGTTTTGGTGTAACTTTCTTCACTCTAGAACTACGTTAATCTTTACTCCAGTTTCTAGACCACGGGTGGTGGCTGCTGTAGAATCGGAGAACTGAGGGGTAGCTACTTCTCTACTGGGCCTGCTGAATGTATCTCTCTAGACTCTTACTGACAATAGCGAACAGTATTGGCCTCAGATTTCTAGAGGAAGGGAGGAAAAATTATTTGGCAGCTAGCATTGATTGCTCAACTAGTTGTCCAGTGTATCCAACAGATCTCTGTGGGAGTATGCAAAGTTAGAAACGTTATCTGAGATGCACCTTGTTTCCACAAATGCGCCTAAACAGTTTGTTATAGGTGCGAACTTCCTTCTCTCATAGTCTTGCGAGAAAATGTGTCATGAAGCACATTTCCATCATTCCATCTGCTTCGTAAGGAGACTTCATTAATGAGCCATTGGCAGTACTAACACCATCCATTAATTTTTACCTTTCGTAGGCAGTCTTGTGCTGAAGGGGAACTCCTGTTCGCCTCACCGGCTAGAGCACAGTGTAGCGCTGCTAAGTTAAAGCTAACTGTGCCTGTCAAGTAAGGTGTTCTTTTGGCCCAATTATCTTAAAAGAACTGTAATAAACATAGAGGGAATTGTTAGATGTTTTAATTTTAGAATATTTGATTGATTTAAGAGTCCATGATAAAAAAACCAAAGTGTGATTGATAATGGCAAGGCAAGCCAATGCAGCTGAGTGATTTAATGAAAATTATGCTGCAGCTCATGTTGCTGCAGTTTGCTTTAAGGGCTCTTAGTAAAGTAGGATATGATGATGTCTTCATATAACCATTAGCAAATGGTTATACTGTAATCTTTCCATATAGGTATTATATTCACAGGAAAATCTGTTTGTGAGACATCAAAATAAATTGCTTTTCATGGGGAAAAAACAAGCTCGCACGATTTTTATATCAAGCTATCTTTCTAAATGTTCTTTACGTACCTCCTCAAAGGGAGAAAAATTACAGTAACTTGTGAAGTGCCTTTTATTCTGTTAAGGCTTTTCTTCACATTTCTATAAACTTCTTCCAAAAGAATATAATTTATAATACGCATTGTCTCACCTGAGGGTTTTTTTTTTTATATATTGTCCAGTGTCACCTGTGTCAGAAGGTGACACAGGAATACCTGTAGAAGGAAGTTGTGGACTTTTGTTTCATACACAGACAGCTTCTTCCCAGCCCTTGGTAATTACAGGCTCTTTTATACACAGATGTCAGAAGCTTTTTATCCTGTCAAAGTTTTGTAGCATGTCCTTCTGGATGTGAATTCATACTGGCAGTTAAAAGTAAAAAAATGTATTTTTTAATTTACTTGAATTTTGGCATCACTGTTGCCTTGTAGAACTTGCAGTTTGATATGCCATAGGTGTTTTCTTTCCAATCTTTAATGGTTTGTGTTTTGTTTTGTTTTGTTTGCTAAAAGGGAAAGAGTCCATCACCTTCCTTTTTTTGTTACTGGCTATAAAGGTGGTACCAAAATACAAGTATCTTTGCTTAAGTTTTTTCACCTTGAAGGCAAGCAGTCCCAGTCTTTTCCATCTTCCTTTGAATTACATTTTTCATTTTCTGATTAGTGTCTCTTTCAAAATCCCACATGTATTTTGACTATACCTTTCGTGAGCTGGGTGCCCAGACCTGAACACACACTTTCTACCTCAGGGGGGCTTATGATTTACAAGACCAGAGTATGTTCATTAATATTGTCTCCAGTTTAGCTGCCTTGCTGGGTTTGTGTGGCGGGGTTTTTGGTAGCAGGGAGGGGGCTACAGTGGTGGCCCCTGTGAGAGGCTCCTCAAAGCTCCCCCGGCTCCATGGTGGCTGCGCCTCTGTGATAATGTATTTAAGAAGGGGAACCTGAGGTGGGGGGGATGGACTCGTGAGGAGGAGTTCCAAGAAAGACAAACACCCAGGTCAGTAGAAGGAAGGGAGGGATGGGCGCTGGTGCAGAGCCCCTCTGTACCCCGTGGTGACACGACAGGGCCACCCCCTGCCACCTGTGGAGGTCTGTGGTGGAGCAGAGGCCGACCTGAAGCCTGTGGAGGAGCCCACGCTGGCGCAGGTGATTGCACTTAAAGGCAGCTGGGACCTG